AGCAGCGGCGGCGGCAGCGGCAGCGGCAGCCACGTTCTGCATGCCGATGGTAGGCTGCACACCAACACGCTCCTTGGCCAACAGGTCAACTAAGAGAGGGCTGGGAGCGGTCTCACGGCCAGGCTGGAAAGCCAACTGGCTGTTCTTGTACTTGACCACGCTGTCCAAGTAGATGTCGAAGAGGTAAGAGGAGTCCAGAGGACCACCCTTAGCCTCCGGGTGGAACTGGGTGCTGAAAATGGGACGGGTCTTGTGGATCATACCCTCATTGCTAGAGTCGTTCAGGTTGACAAAGTAGGGCTTCCAGTCAGAAGGAAGGGTATCGGCATCCACAGCGTAACCGTGGTTCTGACTGGTGATGTGGCAGCGGCCAGTGCTCAGATCCAGGGCAGGGATGTTGTGAGCACGGTTACCATACTTGAGCTTGACGGTCCGGGCACCATTGGCCAAAGCCAGAAGCTGGTGGCCCAAGCAGATACCGAAGATGGGGACCTGGGAGGTCTCCATCAAGCGGCGAAGGTTGTAGACGGTGTCCTGGCAGTGAGTGGGGTCACCGGGACCGTTGGAGATGAAGACACCATCGAAGTGGTGGGCGACCTTGTGGATGGGGTAGTCGAAGGGGAAGACAGTGATGCTGGCTCCACGGCTGACCAGGCTGCGCAGGATGTTCTCCTTGACACCGCAGTCGATGACAGCAACGTGGCATTGGGAGTTGGCGGCACTGACGTGGAAGGGGGCCTTGGTGCTGACCTGGCGAACCAAGTGGATCTGCTCAGGGTCGACGAAGGCCTCATCCTGATCGGCGTCATATTCCTCTCCGACGGTGATACGAGCGAGGGAGGAACCCTGCTCACGAAGGTAGGTGACAATGGCGCGAGTGTCGACACCCGAGATGGCGGGGACACCCTCGCGGGCACACCACTCGCCCAGACTCTGGACGGCAGTCCAGTGGCTGTACTGCTCGGCGACGTCGGCGACGACGACACCGGCAGCCTGGAGGTTGGGTGACTCGAAGTACTTGAGCAGACCGTGCTCATCCCGCTCAGCGGAGGGGACACCGTAGTTACCGATCAAGGGCTGGGTGAAGACCAAGATCTGACCACGGTAGGAGGGGTCGGTCAAGGACTCGGGGTATCCGACGAGGGAGGTGGTGAAGACGGCTTCACCCGAGATGTTGGAGCGGGCTCCGAAGGACTTGCCGTGGAAGATCGGACCATCTCGGATCGTGAAAGTAGCGCGTTCAGTGGCCGGGCGTCCCTGACGGACGGTGGCCATGAAGCGGGACTGAACGGAGGCATTCACGGAAGGGAAGGCCTGGGCCCGGGCGGGCATGGCCTTGAAGAGTCGAGCGAACATAGTGTGATATGATTTGGATGTGACGGAAGATGAAGAAGTGGCAGATATGTGTGGTGGCTATTCAAAAGTTTCCGGAAGCTTTCCAGAGGTGATCCGAGATGTAGTCCTATTAGGGTCGAGGTTAGATTCTTGATGCTTGAGTTCATAGTGACGGTAGTGGTGGCGGGGCACAACATACCTGAGAGGTGAAGACGGAAGGTGCCAAACGCATAAGCGCGACGGTGCTGTTACCAGTCTTTATTTAAAATTGAAGTAAAAGATGAGTCTGATTAGACAGACATTGAAGGGTGTAGATGCACGGAGATATAGGATGGGATTGATGAAGATGGTGGAAGATTGAGTGAGTCAGAGACAAGGAGAGAGGGAGAAAGAAGGAAGGGAGCGAAGGGGAAGGCATTAAAAGAAAGAAGAGCGACCGCCGGCCCGGTCGGGGTGGGCACGTCACGTGCCTTCCCTTTTCCTTTCTCTTCCCTTTCCCCGCCAATCGGAAGCGGGCTATTGCCTCCCGCTATCGGACTGATGATTTTTTTTTCTAAGGTTTTTTGGGCCAGGATTTATCACGGCTGTTATTCACCGTGAATAATTGGAATTGCCTCCGATGGTATCTCTACTTTTACGGCAGACTCCCCTCCGTCCCTGAGCCGTGCGTCCGTGACTCACGACGAACCGTACCGTACCGTAGTGTAGGCACTTAGGTCGCTATTGATGTACACTCCACTGTAGAATGGGTCTATTGCTGCTGCGCTCCATTCATTACCTAACATCTTGCCTCCCCAGCAGCCATCTGGGGATATCCTTGACTAATATCATCCTTTACCCCAGAAGCCATCAATGGCCCTGATAAGACAAATGACACACTGATTAATGCCCCGGGTGTTCGTTGAGTGTATACGTCGTGGACTTCAGGATGGATATGTACTGTATGGGTATAATTCATGCTGCAAAAGCACAGGATCCTAGCCCTCGGAATATCGACTGGATGGACAGTAAGTTATCGCCTCCAGAAGCACCAGACCCACCAGTTGGGTGGAATGAATGGCTGGGAGCAAAGGCTTCCGGGTGCAGGCTGGATCTCCGATGATCTTGCCCGAATCGCTGCTTTCCACACATGCAGGGGATCCTCAACAATTCGGTAGGTCACATCCTTGATATCAACTCGACTTCTTCACCGCAGTTGTCAACTGCAGTCAACTGCAATGCAAGTTGGCAAACTTTTTCCCATGCGAAGCTTCGACCTCAATCAATGCCAGGGTCCGTTAGTTCAATTGGCCAGGAGAGGATGCTTTTCCTCACCGATGATAGAAGTCACACAATTCTGTCTGTTGTCAACTTGTCGTAAATACAGGCAATAATGGGGCAGACGACAGGCCCAGCATGTCCATGAGGATGTGAACTTCTCTCAGCATAATCCTCAAGCGTTATCTTGCCCACTGTAGCCAAGAAGTTAGACTGTTAAGATAGAGATAGAGAGGGGTTATGCAGCAGCACAATGCAGCCCGAATCACACCGCTGACTCAGCGATGCAAGACCACCACCACCACAACAACATCACATGTTCTTCTCCTCGTGTAGTTCGACCATTCGCTTGGACCCCTCCAAATCAACTCCGAAACAACGCCAGTCATCCCATTACTGACTGTACAAGCACAGATTTCCGAATGATCCGGTAACCACATCAAGCCGGCTGAAATATGCACTATCCAGACACCCGTCATGACCGAACCCCCGAGAAAGCGCTCGCGAGTGGCCTGCACCTCGTGCCAATCGCGCAAGCGCAAATGCACCGGGGACCAGCCCTGTTCAACCTGCGTTCAATTCGGGGTAGATTGCCACTATGACCTGGAGTCGCGCAAGAAGCGAGACGTGCGGCTGTTCCAGTTGCAGTCCACCCCGTTCCTGGGGGGACTTCCTAGCCTCACGCCGGATGGGTTAGGTGGTAGCCTCGCCGCCAGCAGCCGGTCGGCGGAATCATCCTCCAAACCCTCGCCCGATGAGACCGCAGCGCGGCTCAACTCGCTGGACGCCAACTCCGGCGCCGCGTTCGCCAGACGCCTCGGCCTCAAGATCGACCCGACCAACGCGCCCAAATTGCATCTCTTCGCCTGGAACATGGGCGCCCGGCACCCTTCCCCATCCCCGGCCGCAACCATGCCTGCTGCCGCTGCATCATTCTCCGCCGTCAAGGCCCTGCCCATCGTGGATCAGATCTCGCAAGATGAGATGCGCGCGCTGGTGGCCGTGTTCTTCGAGAAGGTCGACCCGTGCTACAGCTTCATCGAGCGCGACGACCTGCTGCGCAACCTGAGCCGACGGTGGCTCCCGGCGACGGCCGAGTCCGCCCTCGCCTACGGCGCCTTCGACGCGGTCCTGTGCGGCGTCGGGGCGTTTGGTTGCCTGTTTTCACAGCGAACGGCCACTCCGGCGGAGCTGCAACTGGCGGAGAGCGCCCGGCTGATGCTGGAGCAGCATATGGTGTCCGATGCGCCGCCGTCCGTGGACCTGGTGACCGCCTGGGTGCTACGTGTAGCCTACCTTCGCATGACCGCCACGCCGAACGCAGCCTGGATGGCCAGTTGTTCGCTGATGCACCTCATCGAAGCGACAGGCTTGCACCTCGAACTCCCCGGTGGCGGCGGCGACACGACCACCACTGCCCTCAGCCAACCTGTGGAACCGTGCGACCCGGAACTGCGCCGCCGGCTCTTCGGCATGGCCCGCCATCTGAACGTGTGGATATCGTTCGAGCTCGCCCGCTCGCGCGTGGTCCTGCACGGCGCCACCTCGCTGCCGCCGACGCCCCGCTCGCCGAGCCATCCGACGGAGATCTTCGGCCTGCTTCCGATGTCTGAGAGCCTCGACCCCAACAAGACGCAGGACGCACCCGCCCTGGAATCCGCGCTGACGGACGTCCTCAACCTGGTGCTCACCCAACTCCCGCTGATTCTGGTCCAATGTAATCTGATGCTCTGCATCTACCGTCGCCTCCGAGCCCTGAACTGCATCATCTCCGGGGCACTGCTTGATCGGGTCCTCGCCCTCGCGGAGAAGGGCCTCCGCGCAGCACGCGAGATGGTGGCGTCGAACTGTCCCTGGCACCAGGCCGCCAACGTGCCATTCCAGGTCGTGTGTACGCTGCTGGCTATTGACAACCGGGCGGCGCTGATGATGCTGGGCGACGCCATGTCCACCCTTCGCGAGGTCGTGGCGGCGTACGATACCGAGGTCATGCGGGAGGCCTACAGCACGGCGTACCTGCTCATGCTCCTGCACCAGCGGCAGAAGGAGGAGGACACCAAAGTGCTCAAGGATGTGTTGCACGTGCACTCGGCAGCCTCGACATCACAGATCGAGGCGGGACAGACTGCGTCGACTACGGAGCCGCACCACTCGCTGGCCGACTATCCAGGGTTCTCCTGGCTGAGTGATCTACTAGTTGACATGCCGAGTCTCCAGCACTTCGACATGGAACGGTTCATGTACACCGACATGCCGGGGCCCTTGGCGGATACACCCGGGGCCGGGTCGGTTTCTACCAGCTGAATTCCGGACGGAGAAATAAAGCGATCAGATTGAGAACGATGATGGATATACAACCGGTTATAATCTCTCGAAAGAGCGCTGGGGTTTCCTGCAAGGCAAACGAATCACTGGGACTTCTTCTGGCTCTCTACCCTTGTGCGGGCGCCAGAGCTCCGCATTACGGCGCCGAGTTTCCACAGCACCCAAAGCGAACCTAGGACAATGGCGAGTACTGTGCCAAATTCAATGGTCCTGCTGTTGAAGAGGCCGTTCTCCTTCAGCACGGGCACGCTGATCTCCTCAACCAGCCGACCCTGTTCTGCAGCTGGATTCACCTGGTAAAATATGGTCTGGGGCGCAAAAAGCCTCTCCCATCCGAGGCCCACACGGTCGAAGGGGTTTAAATGCATCTTGGACTCTTCACTGGCGGCACACGCCCAGAACACCACCGGCCAGGGGACCTCGACCGAGCGATAACCACTTTCCGACGGGGCCAAGTAACGCAAATGAAGCGGAATGGTCACGTTCCATTCTTCGGGAGTCTGATCCTCAGGGGGCGTAGCCACCTCGAGCAGCCAATTCGAACCCCACTGAGACACGGACCAGTCCGGCGCCTCGAGGTCCGTCTCGCCCGTCACGGACTGCAACTTGACCAGGTGGTGCGAATCCAAGAACAGCGGATCCTCGGTGCCCAGCTGGTACTTGTCGCCGAAGAGGTAGGACGGCAGCGTGAGATACGTATGCAGGGCACAGGTCGCGTCCGGGGGTTGCAGCGCGGCGGGCGATAGGGAAATGGTCATCGTAGGATGTAAGCCCGTGGGCAAGGGGAAGCCCACCGAAAAGACGGCATCACGAGGGAGGGCATGGTGCCTGGAAGCGAAGGAAAACAACGTCGGCTCTAGAATCGGGGGGGCACACTAGTCAGCTGTTGTGGCGCTTTCTCTCTGCGTGTATGCTTGAAGACAAAACAAACATACTCAACTTCTCATCCTCCCCAACCACCCCCAACAGCCCACCCATCTTGATCTCCTCAGGGTCCGCCGTCCTCTCCGCCCCCAGCAACCCAACCTCCATCTTCCCTTTGGACCCAGCAGCCGGAGCGTGGAGATCCTCCGTCCACCCCTCGCCCCCCGGCGCATCCGCCCAGAACGCGGACACCACCAGATTGCGCGATTCAGCGTCGTAGGCGAGATCCACCGAGTCCGCAGCGAGCAACTCCCGGGCCTGTCGACGACACCGCTCCGCCTCAGCCCCAGCCCCCTCCTTCCCTGCCACTGTACAAACCTTCTCCCGAACGAAACCCACCAACCCCTCCAACGACGCCAAAGGCGAATAGAACTGGTACTCAGAGGATGCACCGGACCGAGTGAAAGATTTCTAGCCAACAGTCAAAAAGCCACCCAAGAAAAGATTTAGCCTTCATGCCGTATAGCCCAACCACCCACGAATCCTGTAAGAGAAAAATTGGGAAAAACACACCTCATAATCCCGACACTTCTTAACCTCCGCCGAGCCAAACACACTCCTCAAAACCCGACACACCGCATCGCTGGCACCCCAAACCCAAACCCAAACCCATTAGCGCAAGCTCCGTAGCATCCTTAACCCCGAGAGATAAAACACAGCAAAAGTTAAAGACTCACCTCCTCCCCCCTCCTTCCTCCCCCTCAACACCCTTCTGCCCCGAAACCCTTCCCGGCCTCAAAAAAACATGCAACCCCCCGGAAACCCGACTGGCGAAGGGCGTGACAGCACCCCCCGCGCCAGCAGCAGCATCCCCCGAAGCCCACCGCACACTCAACCGCTCCACACCACTGCCCAAGAGCTCCCGGACCTGATCCTTCCACAGAGACACATTACCAGATATTCAAGATGACCGATCGACCGGGGAACGTACCTCGGCATCCCACCCACCACCATCACCACTGCCCAACAACTCCTCAACGGACACGGTCCACCGTTCCTGCTTTGCGCTGTGTAAATTCCGGATCTCCATAGCCTGGGGGAGGAGACGGGCTTGGGAGGGGTCGAAGGGGGTGGCGGGGTCTTGGAGGTAGGTTGTTCTGCGTTTGATGGGGGGGGTCATCCTTCGGATTGTTGGTATTGGGTGTTGATGTGTGGGAGGATGAAGTTTATAGTTTGGCTGAGGGGGTAGATGAGTAGTGATGAGAGCGAATGAATTGGAGATAGGTGCTGGATAGATTGATAATCAAGGGTGATGTGGAGAAGCTGACTGAGGAGATGGAGATGAAGATGGAGATGGGAGCTTGAGCTTAAGCTAAGCCTGGATGTTGACGTTGGGGTTGGCGGTCTGCTGGCCTGGGGATTGGTCGCGTGGTTAATCTTATCGGGTGTTATCGTTATCGTAACCTACGATAACGATAAGGACGTACTGTAGCTAGAACTCTCACTGGACTACAGACAGAGGACTGTACTCTACGTCTACCGGGTTATAGTTACCAGTGACTCATGTCGATTACCCTACTACCTACTATAGCCGAGCCAACTTGATATTACTTTTATTCGAAGTATATTCGAATCTAAACTATCCTCCCGTCATCAATCATCATCGTTCCATCATCCTCAGCGATCCAGCCGCTTACGCCCAAACGCCAACTATGCTAATCCGATCCCTGGTAATTAGAAACACATCAAAAGCAGTAACAATACTATGATGGGAATATTGCACGAATTGCACGAAATCAATCAAGGAAGAACGTCCCGCAGCACCTCCTTCTGGGCCGCAGTCAGGCTAGCGGGGAACCGCACATTGGCCCGAATGATCAGGTCACCCCGCTCGCTCGGTTTCTTCGAAACGGTCATACCTAGGCCCGGATACCGTTCCTCGTAACCCGGTTGCGTGGGTCCCGGCTTGGAAACCTTGATGGACTTGCCGTCGATCGTGCGGACAATACGTTCCCAGCCGGTGAGGGCCTCTTTCAGACTTAATTCGACCGTTGTGATGAGGTGGTCGCCTTGGCGTTTGAAGTTGGGATGTTCTTTCTGCAGAGACCGTTAGTAAATCACCACCAAGATCCGTAGGACAGGACAAGAAACCTACCTCAGTGACAATCAGATGCACATCCTGTTTCCCACCCTCTTCCTGGTCTCCCACGCCACGGTACTTGAGCTTCGATCCCGTGCGTAGACCAGGCTTGATCTTCGCTTCCAGCGTGACATCCTGCACAGTGCGTTTGCCGGTCGCCGGGTCAAACGTCTTGCTCTTGACCGTCACCTTCTTCGTCACGCCCTTCATGATCTCCTCCAGCGTCAGCGGCAGCTCCTTCTCCATGACGGTGGGCTCCGGCGTCGGGGCACGCGCAGACTGCTTGAAGCCGGTCGACCCGCGGTTGGTCCGGAACCCCCGGCCACCACCTAAGCCGCCACCGAGCATCGAAAAGAGGTCGTCTTCATCCATGCCGCCCCCGCCGCCCATGCCGCCCATGCCTCCGCTGGCTTTGGCGAAGTTCCGGAAGATGTCATCCGCATTGCTGAACCGGAATCCGCTGCTTCCACCGGGTCCAGTCGAGAAGTGGAACGTACGGGTACCGCCTCCTCCGCCTCCAGGCATGCCACCGAACGAGAAACCGCCGGGCATCCCTCCGGCGAAGGGGTTGGCACCGCCATCGGCATCGCCACTCGTCGGGGGCGGGCCACCCCGCATGAGGTATTCCAGACCGAATTGATCGTAGACTTTGCGTTTCTCGGGGTCAGAAAGAACTTCATATGCTTGTGAGACCTCTATCAATAGTCTAGGTTAGCTGTGCACTGGACAAATCAGAACAGAAAAGATGTGAAGCATACCTTTGAACTTCTCCGACGCAGCCGGGTTGTCCTTGTTCTTATCCGGGTGGTACTTCAAGGCAGCCTTGCGATAGGCCTTCTTGATTTCATCTTGTGAAGCATCTGGTTTGATTGATAGGGCGTCGTAAAGCTTTGTTTCAGCCACCATTGTGGAGTGTGTGTGTGTGTTGTTGTTGTTGATGGTGTGGTTGTTGACGAACGAAAAGATGGAAATGCAGGTCAAATGTGTAAACGAAAGGTTTCGCAGGTGTTGTCAGGTACTGAAGAACGCTAATTGGAGCAACTCGATGCCTCCAATATAAGCAATCGACGAGGAGGGAGGATCACACCACCGGTCGGGGTGTGCGTCAGGGGAATGATGGCAGGTCGAAACCGGGCGGGGAAGGAAGTACGATCTCGAATGACGTAGAAGATTCACAGGACCACACTGCCCACTGACCACCACCGTCTAGAGTGAGGTAGCGCGGAACTTTCGGGAGTAGTGAGATAAGGAAGATGCAGGGAGAGGGGAAAGAAGCGGAAAAGCGAGTGATCGGGATGATGATGATTTCGTGTTCAGGACAGTAGACGAAAGCCAGTTGTGTCGTTGGGTAGGAGGGGGACAAATGGTGGAAGTCTTATGCAGTAGTGTTGGCGGGCTTTCCGTTCACCTCAGGTGAACCCTGCGGTGACGTGTGACGCTGTCTCCCCGCTGGCCGGGCCAAGAGAAGGTTCGAGAAGGTTCGATTTCCCAAGCATTGACATGGGCAAAGAGACTGAATACTACTGAAATTCGGGGCTGGAGATCGCAAGGCTAGCAACAAGCAAACAGTCGATCCTGGCTGAATGGTGGTTCCAGACAACTCTAGCTGTCAAGGGAAGGGAAATTGGAGATTGAGGCGAGAAAGAGGAAAGTTGATCCATCTGGACTTCAGCCCAAGTATAGAAAGTGTCCCGTCCACCGTCAGCTGGCGACCTGCCTATTCGGGCTAGTGCGGGGAACGGGCAGCCGGTGATCCACTACCTTTATGTGTACATACTAAGTAAGATTGAGGTTTTGTGCAGTCACTAAGTTCCATATAATCTGACTACATTCAGTCTGCTAATACCGAGTAGTTATTAGGTAGATATTCAACGGTCTTCAAGAAACCATACTCTGGACTGACTACCTTGTTTCATGCCACAAATACTCACCAATTCGGTGATATCCCCTCGAATCACTTCCTCCCCACCACCAGGTAGTCCTTGATCACCGCGGATCCATTAATCACGCTCTCAATCTGCTCTTCCGTACAGGTCTCCTGCAAAGCCAGCACGTAGCACACGGGCTCCGGGATCTCGGGCGCCACATTCTTAATACTCCACGTCGACTCCGGGCCCTGGCTCTGGTAGCCCGGGTTCTTGACCGTGGAGATCTTCCCCGTCGCCAGATCCCGATTGAACAGCGCCCGGTGGAAGATCTCATACGCCGTCTGGGGCTGGTAGGCGGGGACCTCGTGGCCCGCCTGATAGACCCGCGTGTACGAAAAGTTCCCCGACTGGCGCACCATGCCACCCACGTACGAGGAGTTCGTCCGCAACTCCGCATAGCCCGCGGACCGGAACTGCGCCGCCCCGGCGTACTCGACCAGCTCGCTGACGGCCTCGCCGCCGGTCCAGGGGCAGGCAAAATCCCGGTCCCCGTAGACCAGGGCCACCTTGACGCCGGAGTCCAGCACGTAGCCGAGATCCTCGATCAGGCCGCGGCGGTCCGAGCGCGGGTAGTCGCCCGTCGACCGGAAGGCCTCCCAGATGCTCTCCGCCGAGCGGGTATAGTTGACCGGCACCCCCAGCGCGGCCTGCACCCAGTGCTGGTTCAGGTACCCGATGAAATACGGCGCCGGGAATGGGTCCTGGGCCGAATGCGCAAAGTCGTAGTAGCCGCGGTCGGAGTATTTCTTGAAGACACCCTTGACTTCATCGATGCAGTAGGCGTCCGCATCCTGGCAGACCCGGTTGACGGTCTGGTTGTTGCCGTGCATCTCCGGATCCCCCTCGGCGCCTACCGCACGGCACTCGATGATCTTGTCCTTGCAACCGCCCGGTCCACTCCAGGCCTGCATGGCAGCCTCGTAGATGGTCTGGTTGAGTGCTTGGATGCCGTACGTGTTGTTGTAGGCGATTTCGGGGAAGCTCGGCGCTTGGACAAGCAGGTCGATGCAGCCGTTGATGATGCCAAGAGTGTCGAGGTGGATTGGATGGCCGGACAGGGTGTTGTTGGCGATTCGGTTATTCTGATCTTGGAAGAACGCTGCAAAGGCCGGGCCGTAGCGTCCTCCATATGACTCGGTCCAGATGCTGACGCGGTCATCATGGGGCTTGTACTCGGGGAATTCCGAGAACCAAGCCTGGGCAAATACCCACAGGGCGCGGGCGGCATTCACAGTCCCATTAATCGTGGTCTGGTTGTTCATGCTGGGGAACGTGCCGACGTAAAAGGTATTATTCTGCTCCGGGATGCCAGCCTCCAACCCAGAGATATCCCAGTCACCGGTGAGGGCATCGAAGGTGCCATTGACGGCCACATCATAGCTAAACCCGGTATGAACCGGCTGGTCAATGTAGAGCATGTTGGCATAGTTGTTCCATGACCAAGGGTTGATCTCCGTAGAATTGGAATCCTTGTTGACAACACACGGCCCGTTCTCCTGCAGTAACCCAATGATGGACGACCCGCCAGGACCGCCGTTCATCCAAATCGACAGAGGCGCGTTGGCAGGGTTGTTCCGCGATTCGAAGAACCAGAAGTAGGTGTTAATGGGGTATTGTTGGTCCACCCCTAGCTCATTGAGGGTGCCCGGGGGAAGGTGAACATAGCCGGAGTACGATTTGACCCCAGGCGTAGTTTCGCAGATTCCAGGCTGGCAAACAGGTTAGCACGTGGCTTGACACTCACCTTGCGTTTGACTAGGAGCATACATCTTTGTAGGAGATTTGAACACCTTCATATTGTTTTGAATCGATGACCGTGACGCCTTCAGGCTTAGGAGGGAAGAACTGGCCGGCCGCAGCACATACGAGGGCGGAGCCCACCACCACAGCACGAAGAGAAGGCATTGGGAGCAGCTGGGGAGTTTGGGGGGAGCAGAAGGTCCAATTGACCAGCAGGCAGCTCCTTATAAGGGTCCATGGGGATGGTGTAATTTTTAGCTCCAAATCAATAAATTGATGATTGATTAGTAGGTACCTTGGCTGCAGTGCTTAACCAAATCAAGTGAGAGATAAGACAGGTTTAGTGTTGCCTATAATCCTACAGTGCCAGTAAGTGGCGGTCGGATCTCTCCGCCGTCAGCCGCTGACTGTTGATTGCCGCCTGCTGCAGGTTTCTGAAGAACGTTCCACGTTGCTTGATGAATTGGCCGATAACAGTTTTCATGTTTACTTGTTTCCTACAATGTGTGTTGGTTTTGAAGTGAGGCTCCAGCTACACCGTCAAACAATGGGTCTCAGGTCAAAGTAAAAATCATACCGTGATATAGATAGGCTATCCAGAGGCATTGTAGATGACAAGAAGTAACATTTGAGAAGAGTGAACTCATGGTATATAATGAAATGATAAGCAGAAAAAAGGATTGATCAAGGGAGATGGGAAAAAATAAAAAAGAAGATCCAAATCAGCACAAGCGCCAAGTCCCAGCGCTGGCTATCCTTCCCAGAGCAATCAATGGCTTCCAGCCCAAATCCTGATCCCATTCAAGAAAAAAAAAAAACCAAGACGCCCAGGTATCCCATAGCCAGTCCATCAACACCAAACACGCTGCAAAATTGACATCAAAGGGCATAAATAAAGTCACAGACATAGAAAGATCGCGAGGACCGGTATTGGGTGCCTTGCAGGTCAATCAGTGTCATATATGAGAGGACCACTGTCCCAAGCATGTGCCTGAAGGATATATATATACAGACGAAAGCAAAGTCTTTTTGAAAGTGAAACGCTGATGAAAGCAAGATTGTGACGCATCTTTATGCAAGGTGAGAAGACGCCGCTGCTGCACCCTTCACATCTGCATCGGAAGCAAGTGTTTTTGCAAGTTCGGCCTTGTCGTCGGCAGCAATGACCTGCAAGTCAGACCTCGCATGAATCTCCTTGATGCTAGCTTCCTTTTCCAGAGCGGCATCCGAGTCGTGGAAGCTGGACACGGAGTGGAAATCCTCCCGGTCAGGTGATGTCTTGCTGTACGACTCTGCTGCTGCGTTGGACGAGGAGTCACTGAGCGAGTCGTCAGACAGGGAGTGCAGGGGTAGTTCGGTGAGGCCAATCATTCCAGAGCGTCCAGGGCTCGACGCTACCGACCGGCGACGACTGTGAGAGCGGGAGAGTGAAGTCGGCGAAGTGGGGGTCGATGTCGAGATTGAACCAGGAGTACGCGAAGGGTTGCGAGGTGGAAGCGCAGGTGGGACACGCTTGGGAATTGTCACCAGGCGGGCACGTGTGAACGTGGGTGAGTAACGTCGAAGTTCAGAAGGCATTGTTGAGTCTTCAATGGAAACGGGGGAATGGGCGGTACTTTCTCGCTTGGAAACAGTTGCACTGCTGACTTCGTGCACCTCTAGATCGTCATCGTCCACCAAGTCGTCTTCTTCTTCGACAGCAGCGACCGGAACGTCCGTGGGAACATGGTACTCGCCATGCTCGGGAATAACAGCACCCAGACGAGACTCCTCGTGGTCTCGATAACTTCGAGAAGAGGCGCGACTGACAGAAGGCGGCGCTGTAGCCGGACCATCATCCGTCTGGGTCCCTCGATCCATGCTGGCATAGCTCTGCACACTCGCGCGCCAGCTGCTGCGGGGTGAACTATCGAGACTGCGGCGGAATGTGGCATAAATAGGACTGCTTGGGGCGGGTTTGAACTCGAATGCCTCCTGCGACGGTCTACTGCGCGAACCAGCCTCGCGAATGAAAAGACCTTCCGCTTCTAACGCCTTGACCCCAAACGGGTCGGGATCCTCTGGATCAGGTACACCAAAGGAGCCGATCGCAGGGCCAACTTCGACATCACCGGGAGCCTCCCCTGAAGGTGGCAAGAGGGCTTCATCCACATTAGCATCTCCTTGGGCGGCCTTGATGGTTTGCATCAGTGTTTGAATTGATGCAGGAGGGTTCTTGGCCTTGCCAGCCAAGATATCCGTCACTGATATGCGCTCGCCGTAGAATCGCTCGTTTTCATCGCTTCGCTCGATGATGATCGTTCCGTCAACCTGAACACCTGCATACAACCCCCGACTTTTCATGTAGGTCCAGATCGGGGCTTGTCGCTTGTGGACTTCGGATTCCAAAACACCACCCATGCCAACAGGACCGGCAGAGGCGCTTACTTCTCCACCGAGGGTGCAGCGAACTTTCTTGAATGCTTCTAGCGCTTCGTATGTATTGATGACGACCACACAGTCATATATATCGACCCCGGCTAGGAACCCAATACCCGCCGTATGCAGCATGATGCCCGACGGAGGACTCCACTCGCCTGTTTCAGGTATCCGTGCCAGAAGAACACCGCTTCCGCCTGAGCCGCTTAGCCAGAGACCGGTGCGCATGGTGGTGAAGATGGCGAGGCCTTTGGCCTGCTGGATGACTCTTGAAGGGATTTTCTTGAGGACTCGTTGTTTGCCTTTGGGACGGTCGATCTTGCCAGTCGTTGGGTTGACCGCGCTGTCGGTACTCTGGCGATCCGCATCCTCCTCGCTGTAAAAGCCATCCTTGCAGAAGCTTCGTAAGATGCGCGCTGCCTTGTCGCTCTCTTTGTCAATGGCCATGGGCCAAAAGGCCTCTGCGCCGACTCGATTGGAGAGTCGATTTACGGGATCCCCCAGTTTGTCGAGGGTGTGCCATGCCTTGTCGAATCCTTTCTTAGACGTCCCTTTTGTTCGCTCCCAAAAAGTCGAAGGCATTGTGGCGACTCAACGGCGACTGCCACTTTGGATTCGCCGGACGCACAGCAACTGGTAGCAGAGCAGGACTCAGTCCTGGGTGAGGGGAGTGGGCGACCAGGAAGGGATGCAAGGTAGGAGCGCACGTCTATAACCACAAGCGCAACGGTAGATGGACGAAGACGGCGGGCGCAATAAACATGTGTTGCCGTTTAATTTCCCCAATGTAACTCGAGAATGTATGCAGCACAATAGCAAACGGATAGTTATCGATGGTCGCTGACACAACCGAGGAATGCGGGTCTGAGGAATGCCAGCAACTATCTAGAGGCGGCGCAAAGGAAATTAGCTGGCTGAAGAAGAATGGAGTTGGCAAGCAGGCAAGCAAGCAATAACGCGGAGAAACTTTTGGTTAGGGAGGAGGAGGGGAAGGGGGGGCACAGTTTATGGTCATCATCGGATTAAAACTCATCAGCGACGACTGACGGAAATGTCCGTGAGATCCGCTCAGATCCAGACCGAGAGAGCCGGTGATCCAGTGGCAAGGACTGGCAGCATACGAGAGTCTCTAAGAGGGGAACCACGGAACGGACGGGGGAGGAACTGCTTACCAGGGCAAAACGGGCCGGGCAACGTTGGGTAGTAAGCAATTCAATGCGATTGAATTTGTAAGGCCTGGTAGTTCAGGTAAGGCTAGTTGATGCAGAGTCAAAATCCAGCGAAAGGGAGTAAGTATGTATACTGTATCCTGCACAGGAAATGAGGGGGGAAAGAGGGGAAGAGTAGGATTTGGAGACAAAGATATATAGTAAGTAAACTCAGTCGGCAGGTGATGATCGACTGTGTCGAACCCGTCCGGTTCGCGGGTCAGATGAGCTAGGCTAGAAGATGTACGACCAGGCAGATGGATGCAGTCGCTGGGGGAGGGGGGTTGAAGAAAGGAGGGAAAGAGGAATAAAACAATAATAAGCAAGAAAAAGAAAAAGTAAAATGAGATAAAATAAAATAAAAACAATAATAGTCCTAACAAGCAATGCAGTTTACAGAGTAGGAAGTGGAGGGAGAAGGGAGGAAGTAAGAAGTAAGAGAGCTAAAACCAATTGGTATAGATGCAGCTGCAGCTGGCGGAGAGAAGGGAATAATAATAAAAAAAAATACAGAGTCGTGAGTGCCGGTAACTACAGAATACTGAGTAAGTCCACTAAGTTAAGGGCCAGGCACCACCATCAGTTCAGCACGGCTGGGTCGGAAGGGCATGGTTGGAAACATGAAAGTGGCGCCGTGGCTGGTTCCGGATATGCAGAAAGCTAGCTGCTTACCAAGGGGAAAGGGAAAAGAGGCAGATGACGAAGCATCATGAGGAGGAAACAGCCGGAGGAAGAAGAAGAAGAAGAGGAGGAGGAGGAGTGAGTTGTTGAAAGAAAGTGGAAGAAAAGATGAAGAAAGCAAAAAGAGGAAAGACATCATCACTGCATCACTGCATCACTGCTGCATGACCGGCCGATAAGCCCCAGCCAGCAGCCCCAGTCGCTCGGCCTTTATCGCGGTCAGCACAGACATCTTCAATTTCCATTTCATTTCCTATGCATTCCAGCTTCTCATTCTTTCTCATTGTGATAAAGATGTTGTTATTGTTGATGTTGTTTTTACTAAGGAACGAACCACGCCATCCAGACCCATAGAATAATAGAATAATACAATTGTCTTGCCTGGAGTAATCCACCTCTCCCCGGAACGAACTAAACTATGCCCTACAACCGGAGGTCCAGACAGTCAGAAATTGCATGCTGATCAGATCGCATCGTCATCGACTACGTACCGTACTCCGCGTAGTCTAGTCTACCCGAGGGGAAAGAGAGAAAAAAAGAAAAGAGGGTCCCTGAACCTGACCCTCTTTTTCTTTCCTTCTGGGCCTCTTCCTTCCTTCTGCCTGCCCTTCGGCTATAGTTATTCCAACTGGATTGGTAGTTAGGTACTCCGTAATTATTCATGAAATTCTCACAGTCGTCCTGAGAATCGGATAATGTCTTTTGTCTTTTTTTTGCCACCAGTCTTTCTTGGTGCGGAGTACAGAGTCCAGTACAGTCCTCTCAATATTCTCCATCCCTGCATTCGGATGCGATGTCGATGTATCCAACCCGCGAACGGGCATCTGACAGATCCAATCGCGGTTAACTTTCTAGAGAAGCAGAAGAGTGAGAGCCAACCCCAGCCTTCAGCCTCTAGACCTTTAATTCTCCCCTAATTCAGCTCTCCCTCGCCCTCTCCTCCCCCCTTGCGACAACGGCTTTATTCTTCCTCGAGTAGTCGCCTAGGTGAATTAATCTCAAAAGGACCCAGAGAGGGTTATTTGTTTTGCTTCTTCGACCTTGTCTCTATACTTCCTACCTCCCCCCCCCCCCCCCCACCCTTGTAGTCCATTTAGTGTTAGTGGTGAGGGTCCAGCTCAGGTTATATAGTATATGCATCTATTCATCCATCCCAACCCACTCATCCATCTGCAACTCACTCTCAGCCCAACCCTCGCATTTTTCCCTTTTCCTGTACTCCGTACGTACCTTATCCTCGCTCCTCCCTTCCTGCTCTCTGGTTTTCATGACAGGTCCAATCCCCCCATTCCAGATCCGGTGACAGTTGTCCACCGTCCGTAAACACAAGCCCGTCGATAGTTTCCAGTTCTGCTCCTCTCCCGGGGACTTTTAGTTTCCCAATTGCTGCATCGGTTTTTCTGTCCGATTTGCTCGGGGGGATGTTGTTGACCCTCCCTTCAAACCCCCGAATCCAGTTTTTTCCTCTCGAAGACAGGTTCTATTTTGATATCCACAAGAAAAGACCTGACGAGCGTTGACATGATGACAGTGGCGGCACCTCATCTTCAACAACAAAGGAACCAAACCCAGCGACAAAAGGTCTAGCCCCAGATCCTCAACCCTCCGAAGTGATTTTACCTGTTTCGTGTCCTTCAATCCAAGACTCTAGCTATCCAGATCTACAATCCCCTTTTCTGTCCTCCACTCT